CATTACTTAATAATGTTATACTTTTTTCTTTTGTACATATAAATAGTGATGCATTACAATGTTAAATTTTGTTTTCCTTATACATATTTTTTTCATTTCAATTACCTTATGTTGTTATTATATTCTCTTCTCATTTCACGTTTTCGATAATCTAAAATATTCTTAATTCAAATTCTAATATTTCCACCTTAATCTACTCAAATTCCCTTAATAATTTAAATATCACAAAGTAAATTATCTACTACTTTTTAGTGATCTAAAAAATTCTTAATCCAAATTTTAATATTTCCACCCTAATCTACTCAAATTCCCTTAAATATCAGAAAACAAATTATTCACTCTTAATTCCCACTACTTTTTAGTGAAGTCTAAAAAATTTTTAATTCAAATTCTAATATTTCCGCCTAACTTAACCTATTGTCACAAATCTATTACTCGAGCTCGAATCATACAAGTCAAGCATGAGAAAAGAAACCAAGCATTACATCACTTACTCTTAATCAACGATCAACGCAACAAATTTTTTTCCATCCTTACCTTCGTCCATCCCAAATCCACCCCCATCCTCGGCGAAAATTTCGTGGCGTATCTCCCGCGCGTGTGCGCGCGCGTCGCGCCGCGCTTTCGAGAGGGTGGTGCGCGTTCGACGGGCGTCGTCCGCTAGTAGTCGAATTCGTCTCCTCCTCGAGGAAGGTGCGTTCACCTCGGCGAGCGCCGGTTAACGTCGTCCCTCCGCGGCTCCTTTCGTTTCGCCCACCAGGTGAAACAGAACAGTGGAGGGGGTGCTTGCACTCCGGTGTTTTCCTTCCAACGAACAACCCTTTTTTCCCAGTGTCCGCCTCTCGCCTCTGGACGACAGTGTTCCGCGTTTTAACGATCGGAGGGAACCGCTCTCGCGTTACAGTGTGTCGCAGCGGCGTGTGGACTATGCTGCAGTCAGTGATCGTGGAGGGTGACCGAAGGGGGTGAGAGAAGAAAGGGATGATCGTGCGCGCGCGATACAGCGTCTTGCCGCTTCTCGTGAAAAGGCCGCTTCCTGGGGAAGGAAACCGAGAGTGGACAGTGGTGTGCAAGCTCTTTGAGGGAGGAAGTTCAGGTATGTTGGAGAGGAATGGGTTGTGGATTCTTTGAGGAGCACCGCGTACGCGGTCTCCGGTAATCGAGAAACGATGTTTCGAAGAGTGTGTCGTTTGTTGTGATCTTTTTCCTCTCCTCTCGTTTCTCTGTCTCCTTTGAGGAAAATATTTTTGTCTTCGTGTTTACGTTCTCGTTTGAAAAACTCTTGTTGTGTGGCGTCGTTACGCTTTGAATCTGGGAATGGATTAAGTTTTCGTAGAAATGGAAGGAGATGGGTACTGTTTAAGACTGGACTTTTTTCTCTTTCGTGTTTTCCTTCCTCTTCGAGTCATGTATCCGATTGAAAGAATCTTGGGATTTGTTGCGTCTTATCTTTGAAAGTTTGAGTTTGAAAGAAAATTAAGTTTCGAAAAATGAAAGGAGGTGGATATTGTTTGGACTGAGATTGGATCTTTTGTTGGTTTTTTCTTTTTTTTTTTTTTTTTTGTTGAGATTTTTTTTGTCTCGAGACGTATTCATTATCCTCTCGAATTTGAAAAAGATAAAGTTTTGAAAAACAAGAGGGGATTAATATATAATAATATTGTTTAATTTATCGACTTGTGAAGAAGAGATAAAATATTAACGTGTTGATAAATTTTTGTAATAGATCCGTACAATATTTCAAGTTCATCGAATATATATTTTTACACGAAAACAAATATTTTTTTAATGTGTGTGGGTTATAATTGATTACAATAAATCTTTATTGATATTGAGGATTATTTTAAAACAAAAATAAAGTGATCGTTCGCAATGATTCAAAAATTTTATCTTAACTCATATCCACGTACTATTTTATTATCCATCAAACTTGGATCGTAAGATCTTAGACGATGCCGTACGTAAAAAGCGAGATATTAAAATTTCATCAAAATATGTTCTAAGATATTTTTGCAAAAACGTACGTACGTATTGATATTCAAAATTTTATCTAGATTCTATTGAAATATAAGCTTGTGATCTGGAAAATCGGGAAAAAAAGATCATATATATTAATCTGAATAAATCGAACGTCAATATGCTCGCATCGAAACACAACAACGTTGCATATCAATATAAAAGTTAAGCCGCATATAACCCAGATTACAATCGTTGATTGACACCGTATGTAACACTCGAATGACATACAATCGTTCGACTTTTCGAAATCGCCAGATCGATATACAATAATTGAAGTTGCATAGTTTTAATACGGGCCCGTTGTAATCGTTATCAATTCGCTGATCCACAATTTCGACGGTTCCAATTTCAATGTCTCGAATGATCGCGTCCGATCTTTTTCAGAATGAGATTAGATCGACATACGTGCACTAACTATCTGCTTTCTCCTCTTCTTTTTTTTCTTTTTTTTCTTTTTTTGGTACGTATTTGTTCGTTTTTCTCATGGTTTATTTTCTTGCAGAGTTTTTAGCCGCTGTGAACCGGTTCTACGAACGCCGACTGAATAAATACAGTTTCCTCCCCTCCCTCGTATAAACGTTTCGAGGGAGGTTTAACGCTGTACGAAAGGTGTTTAAGTGAATTCTTTCGGGTTTTTCTTGTTTTCGTCCCTGACAAAGTTTCTTTCGGGGGTTACTCTCCACTTTATTTCCCTCTTTTTATTCTCTTTTTTTTTAATTGTATTTGAAAATTGTTTCGATACAAAGGGTTGAAGAAGGAGCAAATTATTCGGGAGGAATTTGTTTCTATCTTTTTCTCTTTTTTTTCTTCGTCTCTTGTCTCTTCTTTCTCAAGATGAAACTTTAGTGATCGTTAAAGTATCAAATCTATAAATCAGATCGACAATCTTCACTTGCGAAATAATATCGATGAAAGTCTGTGTAAGAAGAAAAAGTGAATTTTTCGTCTTTCCTTTTTCCTTCTCTTTTTCACTTTTTTTAAACTCAACTTTTTTATATATATAATTAAAGTGCAATAAATCAAAATAATAATATTAATAATCTTAACGTGATGTCGAAACGATGGAAGTTGATGAATGTTGAAAATTGAATTTATAAAAGAAATTATTCCAGTGAAATTTATCTCTTTCGTCTTTTCTTTTTTTTTTCCTTTTCTATTTTTCTTCTCTTTCTCTCTCTCTTCTTTTTTTTTTTTTAGATATCAGCTTTCTCGAAATTCAAAAGACGAGTTTCAGCAAGGGCTGTTACAGTTGAAGTGCGATAAATCAAGTCAGTGACATCGATAATTTTAACGCGATGCCGGGAGCCGTATGATATACTGCAAATGGATTTTCGTCGAGGTATTTCAATTGGTATTACCGGGACGCTGGGAGTTTTAAAACTTGGAGGATTGTCCAAGTTCCGGTTTCGTTGTCACTCGCAGGTGGTTTCTTCCTTCCTTAAGCGAATTTTTAAAAGTAGAAAGAAACTTCTTTGCTTACGAATTCCGCGCAGATAGTGTATAATATCTTCGATATTCTTTTTTTTATTCAAAATTTAAGAGGAATATATATGTATATATTTCATAAAAGAAACGATTTTTCAAATAAGTAAGTTGATCGAACAAGATCCGAAGGAATAGAAAAATAAAAATTATATTCTTTATGAAATAAAGAATGCATGCTTTATTGGAATAGAAACTCGTTAATTTGTAAGTAATTTGTAAATAACTCGTGTTTCATATTTACTTCGAAAATATGAAAAATTAAATTATAATACAAATAGCAGTCGTAGTTCCTTTTCGAAGATAATAAGTGACAATCAATGGTTATCGTTGATAACAACTCTTGATTTTAAATAGTGATTGTTAATAGTCGATGATGATCGATGAACACATAATTATCGCCAATCTTTATGTAATTTTTTGATTCATTTACTTCGAATTAAATTATAATACAAATAGCAGTCGTAGTTCCTTTTCGAAGATAATAAGTGACAATCAATGGTTATCGTTGATAACAACTTTTGATTTTAAATAATGATTGTAAATAGTCGATGATGATAGTCGATGAACACATAATTATGGTCAATCTTTAAGTAATTCTTTGCAAGATTCTTCGAATTAACTTTGACAAACTGGTTAATTGGCTTTAATCGATTCAGAAATACGAATTAAACAAATCTTGTAACTCTTCTGAGACATCGCTCGATATCGCAAGTCTTGAATCAATCGAATTGGTTCAAAAAAAATTCGAAAAAAAATCTAAATCTAAATATAGTATATTATAAATTACATATATATGCATACAATAATATATATATAAAAGGGGTGAGAACTTTACAAAAATTATAAAAAATAGTATAAATAGGTAAACGAGACTTGTGTCAATTCTCAATATTTTAAGCAAAGTAATTGATCGTTCAATTCAATTGAATTTTCGATCAATTACTTCAGAAATGGCAATGAAAAGTGTATACATATAGATTATACACTAGACAAAGTGAAAAGTGAAAATTTGAGAAGGAATAATCAGGAAAATATTTTGACAAAATATACGATGGAATGAAGAAAAATCGAGGATGAATAATTTCTATTTGGTTCACCAGAGCCAGAATTGTTTGCCATCTTCGCGGTCAATGAAAAAAGACGACATCATTTGTCTTTTTTCTTTTGATATTCGATTTCTATTGCTGTTCAACACCTCGTCCCTTAGAATATGTGGTAAAACAGGGAGGATTTCCAATTTATCGCCAATATCCAAGTAGGAGAGGTTGTCCGAGGTAGCAGGCTTCCAATCGACGTCGACGAACTCGTCTTGAATCGAAGTGGGATTCCTGGATCGAGAGAGCATAGTCATAGATTAAAACGATCGAAGATCTCTTAATTTAAAAAATTAAAATTATTTACCCCGTTTTAGCGAAGTTAGTCCACATCCTGGTCATTCGTTCTATCGTGGTCCTGTCTTTCGTGCCGAGCGCCGGTGGTTCAGGATCGTCACTTTTTAACCTCGGTGAATATATCAAATACGGGGCGTCGTCGGTGTGAGATGCTCCTGGAACGTGAATAAATATTACGCACGGTCCATTATTACAATATTCTGTATTATTCAAAGAAAGATTATCCTTTGCCGGAAAATAAAACGTGATTCGAAATCGATCCTTGTTATAATAATACAGGAACTAGTCTTGATATTTAATTATCGAAGCGAATTACTTGGAGGAATTAGAATGTTAGAATAGAGAATTGGGAAAAGTAACATTATTCTTGCCACACTTTGGCGGAAAATAAAACGTGATTCAAAATCGATCTTTGTTATAATAATATGCGAAACTAGTTTTGATATTTAATTATCGAAGCGAATTACTTGGAGGAATTAGAATGTTAGAATAGAGAATTGGGAAAAGTAACATTATTCTTGCCACACTTTGGCGGAAAATAAAACGTGATTCGAAATCGATCGATTTGTTGGATGACGCGTTCGCACCAATAATAATACACGAACTGGTCTTGATGCTTAATTATCGAAGTGAATTATTCGGAGGAATTAGAATAGAGAATTAGGAAAAGTAACACTGGGGATCGATCGTTAAAGAAGAGATGGAAAATTATTATGGAAAATTGTTCGATCGATGTAATTAAAGCATCTCGCTTACCAGAAACGTGACGTTTCACCACCAGATCCGAGAGAGATATCTCGTTGCCAACGAACGAGAATTTGCAGAGATAAGTAGGCAAGGTCGATCTCTTCACCCGATCTTCTATAGTTATAATGGCGGGTAGCTCGAAATAGATGAGAGTGAGAAGATCGATCACTTTTCGTAGTTTCTTATCGTTGATCGGTTTCCCGTCGAAGTATTGATCGGTCAAAATTTTGTACAAATCCTCGATTTCCTCGTCCTCCAACTTCTTCAACATTCCCAAACTGCTCACGTACGTGGGCAGATACTCGTTCAAAACGTTCAATACATTTTGATTTCTGCCTGAGGAAGGGAAGTGGCGATAATACGTAATATTAAGCATCGATATTATGATATTTATCGAGAAAAATTATTATCGCGAATAAATAAATTTTACCTCTCAGGAACATGATGTACTCGTGTGCCGTGTAACTGATTATCACGGGTACGTTAGCGACTTTCGTGAGTAATTGCTCGATAGACTCCGGCATAACGGGATTCTCCGCCATCTCGTCGCAATTGATCCCGAAAGGAATCGAGTAGGAGAATTTTTCCTGTCGAACAAGATATCTCGATTCGTTTCGAAAGTTTATTCGAAAAAATGGAAACGAAATTCTTTACCTCCAACGTGAGGATGGCAGACTGAGCTTTCACGATATCCTCGGCCGTCATTTTTCGAAGAAATTCGACCACCTCCTCGGGATCGTCGGTTTCCTTTCCGAGAGTAGCCGCCAATTTAAATCCACGTTCCGGTTGACTTTGATTCCTGCACCAGGCGCTCCAAAGCACTCCGCTCTGCGCGATCGCTTTGTGGTACAATCCTGAGAAAGAAACGAATATTTTCGATCCCACGAAATATTATTCCAATAATTTTTCTTGAACGAAAACGAACGTCGTCGTCGTTCGAGATCTCTCGTTCCCGAGAGAATCGAAAATGAAAAATATCGCGCGTTACCTTTCGCGCGTGGCGACAAAAGCAAGGCGTGAACCAAAACCGATCCTGCGCTCACGCCGAAAATCGTCACGTTGTTGGGATCCCCTCCAAAGTTGGAGATATTCTCCTTCACCCATTCCAGAGCCAAGATCAGATCCTTGAGGCCGTAATTCCCGGACGCGACTCGATGGCCCAGATTCAGAAATCCTTTTTTTTTTTCCCCAATTTAAAAGAAAAAGAAAAAAAATTCACGCGTTAAAATATCTCTTCCCGCCGTTTCTCGTTCCGTTCGATTTTTTAAAAGTCGAATCGAAACTAACCGAATGCACCGACTCTGTAGTTACTCGAGACGACCACCACGTCTTTGGGAAGCAAGTAATCGGGCCTCACCTCCTGGAAACTCGAACTGCCGAATACGAATGCACCCTCGTGAATCCAGAACATAACCGGTTTCAATTGATCGAGAGAATTGGTGTAGACATTCAGGTAAAGGCAATCCTCGGACCCGACGATTTGATAAGGTGGGTATATCTGCTTCTGCGGGCAGTAATACTCGTTGGGTTTCGACGTGTCCTTAACGTCGTTCCACGGTCCAATCGGTATCGGGTCCTACGTTGTTAAACATTTTTTTTTTAATTCGAAACGAAACGGTAAACGTATATTTGCACTGATCCTTGTGCGATCATGGCAAAGGTTTCGTCGATTATATTCTGCTAATTTTCTAACGATTTGGATTGGTCCAAGCTTGGAACGTAAATCGATAGAAATTGTGACGTGAGATGATGAGGATATGAAGGGTAAATTTAAAAATTTTTGCAAAAGCAAATTATTAATGTAAGAGAAATATAAATATATATATATATATATATATATATATTAGAAT